TGGGAAAACCCAGCAGCAACCCAGCTGACTATTACTAAGGGGGCATATTTGAGCCTGTGAAACCTTACAGATACCCAAACATGGCAGGCCTCTTGCAATATGACTGAATCTAAAACATTTGCTTGGCAGAATAGTCTGGTCATGTGGTGGGAACCATAAAATAGAAACAGTGGTAATATTTTATATTATTGCAAAATACTAATCACTACTTTTGATAGAGAAAATAGAATAGTGGGTACTCTCTCTATATGATCTCATTTTGTTGCTTTTTTAAATTTTTATCATGCATATTTGAGGTGCACAATATATTTGTAACATGCTCTTTTTTAACATAGCCCTCCCCTCTTTCTTGGCAGGAGCACTTAAAACCTATTTCTTTGGGAAAAATATCAACTAAAATACAGTGTTATTAACTATAGTCCTCATGTGTACACACTAGATCTCTGGATTTATGTATCTCATATATCGACATACTGCAACATTAGTAGTAGCAACTGAGATATAGAACCAGCCAAGGTGTCTGTGGACCAATAAATGGACAGAGAAATTGTGGTCTATGTACACAGTTGGATATTACTCAGTCTTAGAAAAGGAGAGCCTGCCTCTTGCCACAGCACCGATGACCCTGGAGGACATCATGCTAAGGCAGAATGAAAACTTCTGCACAATCACACTTACATGCGGAATCTTAAAGTTGAATAGATAGAGACTAAAAATATGATGAGACCAGGGACAGGAAATGGTGATGTAGGACAGAAGGGACATTTCTGTTATGATCTGAATACAAGATGTCCCACCAAAGGCTCATGTGTTCAAGGCTTAGCTTCCATTGCTGCAAAGTTGAAAGCCAAGGCTCTGGGAAAGTGATGGGATCATGGAGGCTCTGTCTCCATCAGTGAGTTAATCCACTGATAGATTTATAATTTGGTGATGTTATTGGGAAGTAGCACAGTACTAGCAGGTGGGGCTGAGTCAGTGGGCACTGGGTGTGCCTTTGAAGAATGTTTCACGTTCCCTGTGCCTTTCTCTACCTCCTGGGTGCCAGAAGGTGAGCAGACTCTTTCTCCACAAATCACATCCCCGTTGCCACAATGTTGGGTTTTACCTTAGGCCAAAAGTAGTAGATTCAACTGACCATGGACTGAAATCTTTGTAACTGTGAATCAAAATAAAACTTTCCTTCTTTAAGTTGTTTTATTATGGGAATGAACCTGAGACTGACCTGGTTCATGCCGAAGACTCAAACTATAGTCAGAATGTGGAGAAAGTTATTCTTTATTATTCATGGGCCTCCGACTGGGCTAACTTGCTTCAGAGAAATGGAGGCCCCTGACCAGATATACATACAGGTTTTTGTCGGATTTTTCACATCATCCCTTGGCAGTGATCATATTGGTGGATTTGAGACTTCCAGCACAGATGTACACATGCCTCTTAGGTCATTATAAGAAATTTAATCAGTCAGTGTTTTACAAAGAAGCAGATATTTTGAGCAATTATATTCCCAGTAATATGCTGGTATCAGCATAACCTTAGCTGTTTTAACAAATAAGACACAAGGTAGCAGGTGCTTCCTGAAAGACCACTGCAAGAGGCAGTGTTTTCCAGGGCGCTCATAGACTGGTTTTTGTGGTTGTCTGCCTTGTCTTATCTCAGCCTGAGATTGAGCCCAGAGTGGCCTTTATGCTTGGAGTATAAGTAGAAGCTTCCGAAGGCCTGTTACTTCTACATAAATCAACAAGCACACTTGTTATTAGGAGTACAGAAAGTTTTCATCAAATACATTTGCTAGTACTTACTCATCTACCACACAGAATAAGTTATACTGAGGTCATAGTCCATTAGATCCTCCCTCAGTTTATCTAAGGTCTTTTGTCGCAGCAAGGAAATACTGAATATGATGATTAGTTTTAACTGTCAACTTGTCACAACCTAGAGTCACCTGGAAAGACAGTCTCAAGGAGGGACTGTCTAGATCGGGTTAGCTTGTGGGCCTGTGTGTGTGTGTGTGTGTGTGTATGTATTGTCTTGGTTGCCTTAATTTTAGTTGATGTGGAACCTAGGCTGAAAGTGGGCAGCACCATTTCCTGGTTGTGGGCCCTACACTCTCTAAGAGCAGAGAAAGTTAGCTGGAGTACTAAGCATGCGTGCATGGGCCTCTTTCTGTTCCTGACAGTGGATGTGATGTGATTGGCTGCTTCAAGTTGACTTCCCTGCTGTAATGAACTGTAACCTGGACTTGTGAACTAAGATAAACTGTTTCTTTCCTAGTTGCTTTATGTATTTTAGATATAACATTACCTGATTTAGACTTTATAAGAATCCCACATACTAGGAAGTATGTACTTTTGATGGAACAAATGCCACATGCTGAGAACCTGGTCTATATTGTCTCATTTAATCACAACAGCACCCTTGTGAAGTGGGGCAGATATCAAATTTTTCAGATGAGGGATTTGATGCTCAGCAAATTTAAGCATTTAAGCTGGCAGGTGGCCAAGATCTGGGTGCCTGCATTCTCTCCTACTGGTCTGCTTGGCCTTCCAGGCCACAGATGAGGCTCCCTAGGATAGCAGACAGAGCTCAGCTACACTTTTCTATTACTGCTTTCCATTGTTGTCCTCAACTGGCATCACTGCCAGGCTTGCTGCTGCTTGATGATTCTACCTGGAATGTAAGAAATTATTATTCTGGAACAAAACAAGTTTTTTCACACTGACTCCCTTCTGGCCCCTCTGCTCAGGGCTCAAGGCCCAGGTACCTGCACAGAAAGCAAGAGTGACGGGAACCCGGACTTCGAACTCAGGGTTTTGCAGAGCCTGGACTTGTTGGGGCCCAGCTGCTCCTTCTCCTTCTCATGTGCCTGTCCAGGGCTTTCTAGGTTGTGGGGAAAGATGCAGCCTAGAGTACCTGACTGGGATTTGAAGGCATTTGAAGTGCCTGCAAAATACACTTTGTAAAACCACATGGTGATTTCACACCCATTTCTTACAGTTGAGACCATCAGAAAATCTAAATAAGTCAAGGTTAGGTTGAAGAGCCACCCTTCTGTGTGAATTTCTCCCATCCCACAGAGAGGGCTAGTGGATTGTGAGGGAGGCAGGCTTCTCTCCTCTCAAACACTCCAGCAGGAGGTTGGTGAGAGGTATGGCTTTGGGAGCTGGGCTAGCACAGCAGCTGATATAAGTCTCCTATGTGGGTTGTGTCTGCTGCTAAATGTTCTGTCTGTTGGATGAAGTACTGTGCAAATGGAAGTCAGTATAATTTTCTCTCAATGTTCCACTTTGTTTCAATTCTTAAAATTTAGTATTACATTTATTTGTGTGTGTGTGTGTGTGTGTGTGTGTGTGTGTGTGTGTGTTCTTGCATGCGCACACCTGAACCTGCATACATACCACCATGTCAGGACTTCCTATCATGGGTCCCTCCACACTGTGCCCTTGGGACTGCCCACCATGGGGCCACAGTGAAGGCAGAGAATTGAGCCACAGAGAAAGTGGGGAAGGCCACATCTTGGTGACTTTTTGTGTCTGTGACAGTGAGGGGGAGTGTTTAGACCTTAGACAAGTCTTGCAACTTCGAAAAGATCCCCTTATTTCCGTGATCTGATGGGTCACTAAAGATGATGATGGAAAGATGCTTCCTTCCCCAGCAAGCTACAGATGTTAAATCAATTAGTGCACTTGGAAATGCTTAATTAACCCTAAAGCCCATCACAAACTTGAGGTTTAAACAGCTTTGCATATAAGGAACTCTGTCCCAAATTGCCTAGCAACACCTTTATATGAGTATTTTTATAGCTACTGAAGAATGGTTATTTTAGAGGAGGATACAAACTTTTTAAAATGTTTTTTCTTTATCGCTGATAAAACCACAAACACTTTCTTTCAAAAATAAACAGCAAACAGCAAAAATAAACTGTGGTAATACATATATCCAATAATATTTTACACACAATGTCTGGGCCCCTAGATCCTTTAGCATCTGTCTGGCTTAAGAAATACCTGCTCTAGAGACACACTGGGTTCAGCTCTCAGTCCCAAGCCTGGACAAAAATAAACTGGTGAGAGGAATGACAGTGGTAAGAATGGTTTAGCAGAACTGTGAAAACTCCTCGGGGGAGCCTGGGGTAAGAATGAACAGATACAACCTTCTTGGAATAGTAGATAATGTTCCATTTTAAGTGTTCTGACTTAAAATGTGTTCAGGAGAAAGGCGTCTGCAGCATTTATGTGACAACCCTTCTGCTCACTGACACATTTGTAGGCAAAAAGTTGTGGTCCAGATACCTGAATCCCCCTGCTCACAAAGGGCTGCTATCAGGTGACAGCCAGCGAGGTCCCCTTACACAGGGCGAACCTCCTCCAGGACTCAGATGCCCGCTCAGAGCTCTGCTTATCAGGGCATCTGTGAACGCCTGCCAAGGGCCCTGGCTCTGTCCATTCTGGACCACGAGGGGGACTGGATCTCACCAGAGCAACATCTGGTTCTGGTTGAAGATGTCCCCGCGAAGTAGGATTTCATTTTGGACCCAAAGAATTCAGCACTAGGCCAGCTCAGCCTTGGCAGAAAAGTTAACAACTCCAGTGAAGTGCAAGTCACACCCCGGGGAGATGGAAAAGCCCGGGGAGATGGAAAACGGAAAGGCAAGGCAAGTGCTGCGCAGGTGGGGCCGAGCCACCTTTGCCCTATCCAGCTGAGGCCTTCAATGGAAGAGCACAGAACTGCTTTGAAAGGCCAGCCAGGGCGTTTGCTTTAGACCTCGGGGCGTGCTGTCTCCTATCCTGGGACTTTGCACGACATCTTGATTATTCCATGTGAGCGTCCACCCATGAGAGAGGCGCAGGTCGCCCACCAGCGTCAGCCCGTCCTTGCTGGGATTGGAGACCTGAGCCTCCTGGGAGGCAGATGGCCCAGGGCCTGGATGTGGGCTCCTCTGCCCGCAGCTAGATCAAGTGACGGCGGCGAGTGTGGCTGGACCGTTCCCATCGAGGGAAACCATGTTCAGAAAGATCCACTCCATTCTCCACCCCGGGCCACAGGGGAAGCCGGCCGAGAGCCCTTACTACGCCCGGGCCAGCCCCACGGTCAGGCTGATCCGCAGCAGCTCCATGTACGTTGTTGGGGACCATGGTGAGAAGTTCAGCGAGTCCTTAAAGAAATACAGAAGCACAAACAGCATGGACACCAGCCTGTACTACCTGCAGCAGGAGGACCGGGCATGGATGTACTCACGCACCCAGGACTGTCTGCAGTACCTGCAGGAGCTGCTGGCCCTGCGCAAGAAGTACCTCAGCAGCCTGGGGAACTTGAAGCCCCGCCGCGTGCAGACTGCCACGTCCACCTCCTCCAAGACCTCCAAAGGAGGGCAGAAGACCCCCAGAGAGGGCAAGGTGAGTGTGGGAACTTCGCTGCAGTTCTTCCTGAGCCTGGGACACCTGCTGGGCGCCTCCTTCCCCAGGTGCCCTGAGTGGACCTGACAGGTTCCCAGCAATGAGCCGCAGTCCTGGACTGCATTTGAACGTATGCATAGTTTACTGCCTGATTTTAGAAAGGAGGTCATACTTGTGTGGTGTTTGGGTGACTGGAAACAATCTTTCCACAAATGATTGCTATTTTTATAACAATAATTGTGATCACATCTGAAAGGCCTCCAGCCAGACACAAGCTCGATTCTGGAAAGTAGGAAGAACTCATCACAGGAGGGCAAACTGAGGCTCAGCAATTTTCTCTCTCTCTCTCTCTCTCTCTCTCTCTCTCTCTGTCCTGCTGGTCATTTCATTCCATTTACTCTTCATTTCTTCAGATTTATTTTGGGTCTCGCTATATAGCCTAGCATGGCCTTGAACTTATAATCCTACCTAGGCCTCCTGAGTGCTGGAGTTAGAAGCATATGACATCATGCCTGTGGTTTAAGTGTCTTTTGTTGCATATTTCTCTCAAACATTTTCCTGATGACTGGACTAGGTACTCTGAGCAGGCCTCACTGTCCCTACAGACTCTACAAGGTCCATTAATGTTGAATGACTGATTGGACTGTTATCAAATCTCTAGGGCTTGGCCTAACCCAACAGGTTTCAACTGTCTGCATTTAATACCAGGTGGGAGCAGTTTAAGTAATCATTTTAAATAGAAAAGTGTGTCAGTACAGGGCCCTGTACAGGAGCCTTCTAGCCTGGGGTCAAGGTGCTGAGGCCCATGGCCAGTCAGCTGTGGATTTGGGGCCAGCCCATCCTCTACTGGGCCAGCTCAGACAACAGGGAGGGCTGCCAACCAACTTAATAATCATGGGGTTCTGGGCTCAGCTTAGCTGCTCACTGAGGCCAGCATGCATTTCCCCACAGATGGAGCCTGCAGTATGAGGACACAGCTGACCTCTTGTGGAGCTGAGGCTGGTAGGGGACAAAGGCAGAACGCATAGCCATGAGGCACCATGTACAGATCTCATGTTAGTGCATGTCTGTTCACACACCTGCTCGCTTAGATTTTCTGTATTCTAAGAGATATTAGGAAACAGAAATTGGTAAAGGAAAATGGACTTATTTGCATTTTGACTAGAACATGGGACAGAAAATTCTTAGATTGTCTCCCCCTTTGCTGTAGCAATGCGATAATTTTATAGAAAAGATGAAACCAAAGCCAGAAAAAAAATGCATATGTTGATTTAGCTATGGGAAAAACTGTCAGAACTGTGAGCTCTCTCCCAGGGAAATAAGTTCTTTTTCCTCTGGTTCCCTCTCGTCAGACTATTTTCACGGTCGGCACAGGATTCTTGTGGTAATTTAAAAAAGTTTTTCTATCTTTTTATTTTTGTGTGTATGAGTGTATACATTGCCTGCATGTATGTAAGTGTATTGTGCAATGCCCAAGGAAGTCGGAAGAGGGTGTCAGATCCCCTGGAACTGGAGTTAAGGATGGTTGTTAGCTACCATGTTGGGGCTGGGAATTGAACCCAGGGCATCTGCAAGAACAGCCAGTGCTCTTAACCACTGAGCCATTTCTCCAGGCACCTCTTGTAGCAATTTTAATTCTTTGGGTCCATTGCTTTAGGGTCCCTGTATTTAAGCAAGGAAGAATATTGAATGTCTTGAAGTCAAGCAGACCAAGGTTTGACTTTTCACTCTTCTATTTTCAGTGTGTGCCTTTGCCAAGTAAAGTTGACTTCTCTGGGTTTCTGTTTTGGTGGTAAAGGCACGGCTATGACGCTATCTCCTATGAGGAGCAGCACCATCCCACAGGGGTAGTACCTGGCCCATGCTGAGCGCCCCAGTGTTTATTCCCTCAGAAATGTCAGGGCCTTCCATCAACAGGCACAGACCAGCCACTGGTTTCCTTCACCTCTACAGAAAGCTGTCTGCTGGTCTGGTCTGTGAAAGAATGCAGTCAGGCTCTGGCGCTGGCAGGGCAGCTTTGTCTTCCAGGGAGACAACGGGCCACCAGGAGGGTTCCTTCCCCTGAGATGCCACAGCTTTGCTGAGGGTCAAAATTTAGGCCCTCAATGATCTTTTCTCTGTGATCCATTATAGGTTGAATTGTAATGGATCTCAAAATTTGTCTGTTGGAGACCTTGTCTCCAGCACCATGGAAGGTGATTTTATTTGGAGATAGTGTTAACAGAATTTTTAGGGTCAAAGCCTGGGCTCTGAAAATCCCAACAATATGCCAACTGATAAAAGCAGAGGAAAGAGATTTATTCATTATGGCCACAATGGGAAGGGAACAAATAAAGGGGTTGTTACGAAGTTCACAAAAAATCACCAACACCACTTTAAGAAAAGTAGTACGGTAAATTTTAATTTTCGACCGGCTGGACTGTCTATCTCGGGAGTAGACGCAGCCCTGATGATTGTCAGGTCAGAGTTTTTATAGGATTACAGAATTATTATTCAAACAGGACATCTGTGAACCAATCAGGTTTGTGCAACATAGCAGAACTTTGACTCTATTCATCAACAACCAATCATTATACAGACAAGTGATACAGTCATATAACTTGGCAATCAACTTTGTAATTTTAAAATTAGTCAACTCCCTAGCCATAACAAGTAGGTAAGAAAGCTGAAATCAGCAGTTACCGGGTGGCCATACAATAACAAGATAACAGGGTGGTCTTACGCTCTGTGTCAAGGTGACCCAAGATAGCAAGTGGATTACAGAAGTGAAAACAAGCTGGTTAGCCAGGTGTAAAATGTCTGGAATTACCACATTCCATGGTTCATGGCTAGGACAATTTCCCAAGACCCAAGGTTGCCCCCCTTTTCCTTTTGGTGTAGAGCAAAGTTGCTGCTAAAATGACTCTGAACAAAATGGAGTAACTTAGGTAAGTTTTCTGAGCCAGTTCAGGGGTCTAGTGGCCTCCAAAATCTATTTGGCGGGTACTGACATGAGGTTTAGGTTCAAAGAAAAGGCAAGAAAAGATATAAAACTAGGCAGCCCTGGTCAAGGTATAGTTCTACCCATCGCTGACCCAGTACTATCCTGGCTCTGGTCTGTCCTGCAAGGTGGTCTGATAAGTTGTCAGAACCATGTGAAATCTCTTCAAGTTCCTCCTCTGATACCAACGTCTCAACCTTTTCTTTCTCTGAGCATGAGGCTCCTGGGGGAAATTTTAACTATCTGTTTTTTGTATAAGTGTGTGTGTGTAAGTCATAAATCAAGCTCACATGTTATTCAGGAGCTTGTCTACCTTGTTTTATGAGACAAATCTCCCACTGGGCTCTGGAGCTCACCAATTAGGCTGGGCTGACTGACCAGGCATCCCTAGAGATCCTTCTATCCCCACGTTCCCAGCACTGGGATTACAAGTGCCCCATAAGCTTTAGTTGTCAACTTGACACACCTGGGCAGAGGGGGTATCAATTGAGGAATTGTCTCCATTGGATGGGCCTGTGGCTATGTCTTTATGGGCCTTTTCTTGATTATTGAGTGATGTGAAAGAGCCTATCTCACTGTGGGTGGTGTCACCCCTGGGTGGGTGGTCCTGTGTTGTATAGAAAGCAGGTTGAGCACAGGCTAGGGGAACAAGCTAATAAGCAGCACTCCTCCATGATCTGTGCTCCAAGTTCCTGCCTTGTGTTCCTGCCTTGGCTTTCCTTGATGATGGACTGTGATCTGTAAGCCGAATAAATCCTTTCCTCCCCAAGTTGGTTTTGGTCAGTATTTTTAGCACAGCAATAGCCAACTAGAACACTCAGCTTTTTACATGGGTGGTGAGGCTCAAACTTAAGTCTTCATGTTTAAGCAACAAGCACTTTATTAACTGATCCTTGAAGCCCCAGCCTGGAAAATTTTAATTCTTTGAGATACATTATTTCAACAGTCTGATAGCACAAATCAAATGTCTCTCTAAAATATCCTCTCTACTACCAGGGTTACAGTTCCTCTGCCTTTTTTTGGTTAGACTTCGGTTTTAAGGGATTTGGGGTGATGGTTGGAGTTGGTGTAAAAGTTCCTGAAATATTCATATTCTTGAAATAATTATAATGAGCAGAATAAACACCCGAGCCATGGGTAGAACATGTTCAGTTGGTGTTTGGCAACCAGGCATAAGAACCGAATCCCAGGAACTTTCTAGCTTTAGTTGCTTTTAGAGGGACTGGTTCAAGTGATCCAATTTTTGTTGCTGATTTTAAGAAAGCTTGTGTATCCCAGGCTGACCTCAAACTCAAGATCCTCCTGCTTCAGTCTCCCAAGTGCTGCAATTACTGATAAGCACCCCCATGCCCACCTGACTTCATTTTGAGTCTGACAACCCCCACTTTTGCCTCTGAACAATTTTCTTTGAAGACATTACTGATTAACCATCTGGCAGTTTGAGGTCAGCTGTCTCTCATCACTGGAATAAAGTCTGTCCCATTTAGTCTTATCTGACCTCACATTGTGGGGAGGAACAAATGAGAGCTGTCAAGGAATTAGTACCAAAAAATTCCCTTTATGGTCAGATTTTAAGCAATGAAGACGGGTAAAAGGAGTGGCTGTTAGGCCAAGGCATCCTGCATTCTGTTCTTGAATTTAATTCTGTCTGTCCTGTGGGTGATGTTCTAGTATCTCAGAGAAAAAGTTGCTCAGGTTCTTTTGTTAGAAGCTGTACTGTAGAATGTTAGTAAACACCAACCACAAAGTTTTGAAGGAGAAAACAAAACACAGCACAAGCCAATATTTAAAGAAAGCTCCTTTGAAAATTAAGTACTTGCTTATAGATATACTTCTTAAGTGACCAATGCCCAAAACCTTTGAATTACTAAATATGCCCCAGTGTTAGGGCATGCTTAATTATCTTTGTTTGAAAGAATAGCCATGCACAATTAGGAACACATGAACATAGGTTTGGGAAAGGGTAGTAAATACCACTACCAATTCTTGTTTGGAGGACATCAGTTTGGAAAGATGTCTT